TTCTCAAATGAGTCTGATCTGAGATTCTCCAATAATGTCTAGGCTGTGTATACGATTGCTCATGCACTACACAATCTACTGCCACGTCAACAGCAAAAAGGCCCATTTATTAATGCCATTGTTTAGCTAAAAGCAAACAATGTTTACTTTATATATGTATACTTTAACAATGTTTCTTTAGCCTAGAAGATGAAATAGGAAATTTACTGGGAAAGAGAACATAATATAGAACATGATAATGCTGTACATATACTGCATTAAATAGCTTGCATTATTTCACATTGTTAAGATTATTTTTTCTTGAGAGGAAAAGTGATGCAATGGCAAGATACAAATTGGTACGAAAGGTCACCAAAGGGAATATTGAGGTAGCAACATTTGGCTACTATGATGCAACTCAGCCCTGTCGGCTACAATTTACAATAAACAATGTCAACATTGTCTGGGGAGGACATCTGATGATTGTTAGAGTCTCTTTTTAAATTACCTTCTAGTCTAAACTAATTTCCCAAGTGCTTATTATATACAGTGAAGCATCATAACAGCAAATAACCACATGACAAACATGTGTAAACATGTGCAAACATGTCACACAGCATTATTTATTTTGGTGTTATTCAAATGTCTTTTCCCTAATGTGTGACAGGTGCTTGTGTCCTGGAGCAGTGAAAGCTATCCCTTAGGTATTAGAAAGGGAATCCAAATAAGAAGGCTCATCTGCTGTTTTGACTCTGTTACATGCCCTCCAGGAATGATTAAGTACACAACATGTAATACTTGCTTAATTGCTCTTTTGGCACTTGCAGTTCATTAAAAGAGGACTCAACGTTAAAAAAAAAAAAAAAAAAAAAAAAAAAAAACCTTTACAGTAATTTCATATAACTGGTTGTATAAGTGAAAAAATATATTTATAAAGTGGTGTTTATGAAAAACTTGGGGAAACTTTATTAAAAAAGTAGGCTCATTACTCATTCCATCCAGACCAGATGCATCTGACTGTGTGAAGTGACCTTTTGGATACTGGTACAGTTTCAGTAAAGATGACTGTATCATAAAGACAGTTGGATTCATGTTATTCACCAAAATCATGCGTATTATTTAGATAATGTTTGGGTTATTTGGAGCATTTCTAGTTATGTTTGTATTTGTAGTACAGGTCAACATATAGTAAAAGTCAACAACTGAGCCTCCCTGCTGGGGTTTGTTCTTCGTAGGTTGATTACTCAGTTTGCTGGATTTGGATATTGACGATTTGACATGATCCAGGATCATTTAGTTCTTCAAAACTCATCTTAGAGTTTTTGTCATAGCAACAATTCTGGTAGCTCAAACTTGGTCATTTCGCCGGGTCATTTCAAGCAAAGATAATGCTGAAAGTATGTACCAAATGCAGATGTTATCGTACATTAGTTATATACATTAGGCAAAATAGCAAAAAGTAAAAAAATATATATATTAATAAAATGAATGCAATCTGCACTCCAAAATAATGTACAAAGACTGCCACATGGTGGTTCAAATAGAACATTTATTGATATTACCTTTTTAGATACAAACACATACATGCACAATATTCAACTTTTTTTTAAAGGATAATTTATGCAGTCATGCATGTGTTTTGACCGCTAATATACCAGTGATTTGATGCTTCGCAAAAGTTGCAGACACCTTTATTTACCGATATAAAAAATATTTTTGATGCTAAATTTATTTACAGTTATTGATTAAAAAAACTTGAGTAGGCCTAGGCTACTATAATAAAGAAAATCCTCTCTAAATGTAGAACTAAATGCATTGATATGCATTGAAATACATGATGAATATTCTTGACACATGAAAGTGTAAGGCCTGCCGCTCACATCATATGTGGAAATTAATTTGCGCATCATATTTAACAAACCATTTACTGCTAATTTTATGTCATTTTGCTCACATTGATAATTGAATATTAATTAGATGATGTCATTACGGTGCTGTACCGTCAGTCAATCGTTTCATTGCTGATCATGATTGCGTAATCGATAGATCTGTCTACAACACACACAGTGATCTCAGATCAGTTCATCCTGACATTTTAATCTTATTTACAAACTTGTTTGAAGAACCAAATTAGCCAAAGTTCAGTTATCAAGATTAAAAGATCCAGGATCTGCCAAATCATCTTAGATAATTCAAGCGAGGTATGAAAAACGAACCCCTGCTCTTCTCATGGACTGTTTTTCTTCTGTTCGCTCACTCTCATTGATCGCCACACTGGGTTAGGAGTTAGGATGACTCTTATGGCCCATGCACTTTTTGGGGCCCCAGAGATACTATATGGGACCCCAACCCCCTCCTACTATTGAAAAGTCATTCTTGACTGATTCGTTTGTTTTGAACGAATCGTTTATTCATTAATTTGTGAATAATGAGACTTCAGAAGGAAAGATTTGTTCATTTGCGAATGCGCAGATTTATGCAGGTTGAGGTAGAAGATTAGTTGCTATTTTCACATCTTCTATCAGGTTTGAGTAGTTCATTCATCCTGTGAAAGACAGAAGCCAATCATATGTACTTAGAGCCGGAAAACAATATGATCCGTTTATCTCTCGTGTCATTTGTCTCTTTACATACTGTCAAATGATGAACGAATGACCCAAAAACACAAAGACTCAAAAGGTGCACTACTCATGGGTCCTCCTGGCTCAGACTGTGTGTTGGTTAAGCTTAAATGGGACTATCCGTGTAACGTGATTGAACAACTTAAATTTGAAGACATGTCAGAAAAGGTGAATTTATCTAATCATAGACAAAAGACTTAGATAAACAATAAATTATTATTTTGTTTTTTGCTATAACATTCTAGTTGTGGCTTGTTTTTTAGTGTGATCAATGTTTGGGCTAGTTGTAGATGTGCTTGAAAGCAACTTGTAACATTTTTATAATATTTTGGCAAATTAAACAAGATGACTCAAAAAAAATAAACAATTCATCATCACGATGAATGAGACTCAAAGATCTGAGCCAGTAAAATGATCCAAACTTCACATCACTACCTTCTACCACCCCACAACTCTTCACTTTTGTCACCCCAAAACCCTTTCTCAGCATTTAAGCATGCCTGGAAAATTCACAGTAGAGGTGGAGATTTTTATCATTTACAAATTGGGACAATTAACCACTATTTAACACAAAATAGATTAAAACACACACACACACACACACACACACACACACACACACACACACACACACACACACACATATATATATATATATATATATATATATATATATATATATATATATATATATATATATATATAATCAGTCAGAATTATTAGCCCCCCGTTTATTTTTCAACACATTTAATAACATAATAGTTTTAATAACTCATTTCTAATAACGTTTTTATTAATCTTTGCCATGATGACAGTAAATTATATATTTACTAGATATTTTTCAAGACAATTATATACAACTTAAAGTGACATTTAAAGGCTTAACTAGGTTAAATAGGTTAACTGGGCAGGTTAGGGTAATTTGGTAAGTTATTGTATACCAATGGTTTGTTCTGTAGACTATGGGGAAAAAATAGCCTAAAAGGACTAATAATTTTGTCCTTGAAATGGTGTTTAAAAATTTAAATACTGCATTTATTCTTGCTGAAAAAAAAAACAAATAAGACTTTCTCTAGAAGAAAAAAATATTATGTGTATTGTAAAACATACATACTGTAAAAATATCCCTGCTCTGTTAAACATAATTTGTGAATTATTTGCAAATAATAAGTTCAAAGTGGGCTAATAATTCTTACTTCAACTTGTGTATTATTATGCAGGGTGATACAGAAAGAGTACCACAACTTTGAAAATTGAGAACTCTGCAAGGAAGCAAAGGAGAGCTAAGATTTTTCTGTCATCGTTTTAAGGAAACTCTGAAGTTTAAGTAGTCTTCATATTGAATTACCCAAGGTTCTATCATGTTTCTTTGATTGAATACAGATTTTTAAAGTTGTGGTATTATTTTTGTCACCCTATATATCGAATGCCTAGGTAAGTCCAGACATGAAATGGATCAGTGAAAAGTTGTGCATTGTAAGGAAATGCCACAGAAATGGTCTCCCTCTTGTGGAAATAAAATGAGTGTAAGACTTCTAATGTACTTTCTGTTTATTACTATTTATCTAATTCTATCTAATTTATCAAAGCTTATTTTAAATCTGGGTTTATTTGGGAGCTGGGTGTTATCAACTATCTTTCTCTTATTAAGTTTACTTTAATATAAATATCTCTATCTATCTATCTATCTATCTATCTATCTATCTATCTATATATATATATATATATATATATATATATATATATATATATATATATATATAAATATTACAATTTATTATTAATGATTTAATGAATAAATCTATAAAGTACTCATTACGTTTAGGTAGGCCTGTCCAGAGTTAACATCCATTATAGATGCTCCATTAGATAACCACATTTTAGCTTGGATTGCCTGCCCATTAGCATCAATGTGCAATGTTAAATTGAGTTTTGAACCTGCCTAATTTTTTATTTTATTTTTTTGCATTGGTCAAGTCATACACCAACATTAATGTATAAAACAATGCAGCCCAATGATCTGACTTCATCTACATTTCTTGTGTGTGAAAAAAGTATTGTCTAATGTATTTAAATCCCATAAGTCATATATAAACATAAAAAAATCTTGTGAAATATTTTGTATTTTTATTTTAATTAAGAAAGTATTTCATTTATCCAAATTGAAGCTGCAGCCACTACCAATTATAGCAAATAAATAAATCAATACATGTATTTATATATTTTCAGTAGCTAAACAAAAGAACTAAAATCAAATATTAGTTGAAAGTGTTTGTGCAATGTAATGTTTACCTCTGAGAATTGGGCCTTGTGTTTCACATCAACTGTAACTTACTCCCGTGTCACTTGAGGAGTGTATAAAGCTAGTCTAGCTAGCCTTTCTTTGTCTAGAAAAGGAACCCTACACTAGCACAGCCTCTGAGATGAGAGGAACTACTGTGGTTCTACTTGCTCTTCTGACTGGAGCACTGAATTCTTGTTGTAGATCATTTAACCTTAGAGATGATGAGAGACAAAGTGAGCATTCAGAAAACAGAGCTGTTAAAGACAAAAAAGCCTTGACATGTACTGCAAGATATTTACTATTTTCATGCCATGGGTAGGTATGATTTGTTTCAAGTTAATTTACTCATTTCTATTTACAATTGCACATTTCTGCCATTTCAATTCAACAAAAAAGTTATTTTTTGTTATGTTGGTTCTGTATAATGTTGTACTAAAACTACTGATTTTATCAGATTGGTGAATATGTGATTTTAACTTCAAGTGTTACTAAGAAAGTTATAGGAAAATGTGAGATCCTCTGTTTTTCTTATAGCTACCTTGTAGAGAATGGTCAGTTTACACGCATGATGATTCTTTCGGAGGAAAAACTTGAAGTGATTTTAATGCAGGGTATTATTTTAAGACACCCAAAACTCTGCCTTTGTGAAGTTCTAGATATGCGGTTTCTGTGTGGGCAGAACAAAGTAGAGCCCAATCAACCACCTGTCCTGGGTTGTAAGGTGAGTGCTGTAAAAATGTTTTATTAGAGTAAATCCTAACAATGTTTGAAATGTACAGCCAAATATGCAAATGTTTTATAGATTAAAAGCAAATGTGATTGCTTTCTTCTTCTGATTAATTTTTGTGTGTGTGTGTCTAGGATTTCAATCAACCTTTGCACAGTTTAAAGCACAGCCATGTGTATTTCGTACTGATGAAATACGATCTGAAAAATGGAAACTTTTTAAGTAGTTCCGGGACAAATGGACATCAAATAATGTGTGAACTAAATGTGAAAAATCTAAAAAATGGAGACTTTTCAGGAAGTTCCTGGACATACGGACTTCACATAATGTGTGAATTGAATGTGAAAAATTGCAATGGTGGAATGGGGTGTGTATGCTTCACCGTTTACATTTACATGGCTGCAGAGGACCAGGTGAATGTTACAGACAGACTGTGCATAAGAAGTGGAGCCTGGTTAACAACAGCTAATTTCACTGAATCATATAATGCACAGAGACTCACTATCTGGTGTAAAGCAGCTGTAAAACTGTCAAGACCAGCAGTAAAAGTTCTCAATGGTACCTTTATTAAACAGACAGAAGACTGGACAATACCTTCATTGATCTGTTTGTTTACTACTTTGCATTGCCAGCTTATCCTGTCACACAACCATTTGTGTATGATCTCTCTCATGAGGGGGAGCGGTGATTGTAAAGGCACATATCGCAGTGTTGTTTACCAGGTATGGATTTCTACTCCATGAATATTCTCCAAGAAACAAATACTTAATATTTGATCATTTGTTATATCATATACAAATCATCAGAATACAAACAAGATTTTAGATTATATAGATACTTGCAATTCTGAATCAAAACTGTTTCATTTTCATTGGCAGCTCATATGGACTGTTTCACTGAAGAAACTCAAGGAGTTAAACCGAATGGCTAATAGCTCCTCCATATTAAATATGCACACCTGCACAGACATGTGGAACCCTAAAGGTGACCAGATATTTTTGGCTTGGTTTTTGCATAGTTTTTACTTGTCATGGATCACATTTGCAACAAGTAGTATTACTGCAAATTATGGCACATCATTGTAACCACATTAATGTCTTTTCATTGCATTTGTACTTGTAGAAATAAGTCTACTACAATGGCAGATCTGCACTCTACTCTGCAAGGGTCTGGTTCACCAGTGGATAATGAGAGCTCTGCTAATCACTGCTTCTCTGTTTTTAATCAGTCAGACTGCAGTTGTGACAGCTGTAAGCTATACTCAAAGGTATGTTTTTACCCAGAGATCCAGGAACTCAAATCAGAGATTTCTTCTGCTTTTCACAATGTCATGGTGCTCTTTGAGTCCACCTACTGTAACTAGACAATCAACTGGATGTTCCTGCAAACTTCACCACACAGCATTTGGGATTACTTTTGTCTTATGCCTCTCCTGTGTTCTGGGGAAAACAATAGTGGTCTTAATGGCCTTTAAGGCTACATTTCCAGGGAGCGATGTAATTAACAAGTGGTTTGGACCATTGCCTCACAGACTCAGTGTTTTTGCCTTAATACAGATACTTGTTTTTGTTTTTTGTTTTTTATTCTGGTTCCATTTATTTTACTTAAACTTGAACTATTACCAGGAAAAGAATACAGTAGAATATGATGTGTTCTATGACACAGGTTTTTTTCCTAGTTTTGATCACTTGAGGCTCAGTTTCATTCTGACAGTTCTTGACTTGCCATGTACTATGGTCTGTTACTCAGTGTTGAACATACATGCAATTATGGCTGGAACAACAAGAATATCACTCAGAGCAATGCAAATACTAGTGTATATGGAAACAAATACACTTATTTAAAATTAAAAATGTTTTTTCCCCTCACATTGTCTTTTAATAGGTTTGTCACAACAAATGTGCATAACATCATGAAAAAACATATAAATAATAATAAAAAAGTGCCATTACTATTAGAAATTAGATGAATGCACAATATATAAAAACAAAAGAGAGAAGATTAAAATAAAACATTTGCTTAAATTATTTAAAGTACTAATAGAGCATATGATATAAGGAACCTGTATGGGGTAGCGGTCCAGATAAGCATCAAGATAACAATTAAATCTCTGCTGATTATTATATTTGTAGAGTTGTGATCTGGAAACTATGCAATAATCTTCTTTTGGCCCATATATACTTACAGATGTAACTGGGAATTAATTTATATGACCAGATACTAATATATATCTTCCAGAAGGACCTGAGATAATGGCAGACAAATGGATTGGGACAGATTTTCAAAGTAGGATGGCAACACTCCTGGCAATCCAATTTTACCAAGCATCTCTGCTCAGTTGATCTAATGTGGGTATCTTGTAATAACAATAATAATAACAATATCAACAGAGAGAGAGAGACTTTAGAAGTGCAAATTCTTTGCCTCTATTAATCTGGTGTCCCATACCTCTAACACTCCAAGATATTTTACATATACCCTCAACAGAAGAATATATCAACCTTTGTCATTAATTATAAGCATTACCAATAATGTTTTAAAAAAGAAAATAGATGCTGAAATACAGTTAGCCTGGCAAACTCCATTAAAACGTACCCCCAACCCACAGCCATTTCCCTCAATGAAAGGAAAAAAGCACACTTCACCAGGATGGTAGTGGAGCAAAAATGAAAAAACAAAAAAATAAAATAAAACACAGGCAGACTTACTCAGTCAACTGTTGAAGAGGGAAATAAATGTCTAGTGTTGACAAACTGTGAAACTCAGGAAAAATATCAAGATGAACTTAAATGAACAACTCGACAGTTTGCCTTAGTTGATTGTGGTAGTATAATAAAATAAATCAGGATCATTAAGTAAAGGTCATGTTAGATATGCTTGCGTGGTTCCTTTAAAGCATGTAAAAAGGCATGTAGACTGTCAAATGCAGAAAAAATAAAGAGATGAACTTGAACAAATATCTTAACAATTCACCTTATCAGTCCAATATGGCAGTACAATAAAATAAATGACGGTCATTATGAAGTTATTTGTTAGATCTGGAGTCCTCATTGTGACATGCTTCCTTGATATGGCATCCAACTGAACAGGGTGTAAATCAGTCCAGTAACAAACTCTGTATTAAGACCCTGCTCCGCTTTTTTCATTCATTTATTTTCCTTCCCTGATTATAAGGGTTTGCCACAGCGGAATGAACCAGCAACTATTCCAGCATATGTTTTACCCAGCGGATGCATTTCCAGTCACAACCCAGTACTGACAAACACCCATACACATTCGCACACCCACTCAAGCATTACGGCCAATTTAGTTTATTCAATTCACCTAGTGCATATGTTAGGATTGTGAGGGAAACCAGAGCACCCAGAGGAAACTCACGCAAACACAGGGAGAACATGCAATCTCCACACAGAAATGCTAACTGGCCCAGCCGGGACTCGAACCAGTGAACTTCTTGCCGTGAGACGACAGTGCTAGCCACTGTGCCACCCTTCTGCTTTTTTTTTAACTCCACACATTTCAAATTTAGCTGATGTGAATGGCCCACCAGATCATTTAGCATATAGAAATCTGTTATTGTTACACAGATTATCTCCATTTAGTCCAAGCCTGCATCACAAGTGGTAGCTGATTCAAACTTTTTTCTTAACACCTTATCAAAAGCATCAAGATGAGAATTGATAGACAACTTGGTGACCTCAATGAGCCGCTTTAATTGTTGCATTGATTCTCAATGGCTGAGAGAATAGTGCTGGCAGTGGCTGAGGAAATTAAATCACTCACGGTGTGGTCATCTTTGCCCTGTTGTGCTTGCATTCAGTATAGACAATTATAGGGCTTTAGACACACTGCTGCATTTGACTAAAGTTAAGGCCTGTGCACACCGACGTTTTTTGCTTGCGTTTTCCGGCGACGTTTAACGCTTCGTTACTAAATAAAGGGCGTCAATGTGATCATGCATACCAACGCTCAAAAGTGTCATTTAAAAAAATGACAAAAGAAAAAAGAAAAATCAAAAGACAAGCGCCCCGGTGTGTAGGAGCCTTTAAAAAAGAAGCAGTGATTTCAAATGTTGAAATAGCTTTTTGCAGGATGAATTAAACAAAAAATCAGCAAAGAGTCAGCTTGGAGGAGCCATAAAACGGCATCTACTCCATTCAACCCTCCATTAAAAGTTATTTAAAAATAATAAAAAATAATTCTAATTTGTGAAATGTAAATGCTTCAAATCAAGCATTTAAATAAAAGAAACTGTTCATGCATACAGGAATGTTATTTTAAATTAAAATTATGAAACTTAGAACAATACAATGTCAGTTTTGAATTGCACATGTTGAAAAGGGTTATGCATTTTTCAAATTTAATATGTACAATCAATTGAAGGCCCTACAGTGAACTTTTTAATCTTTGTTTAAATAAAATATTAAACTGACAAAAATAATTTCCTAAAATAATATAGCCCTTAAAATGTTTTTTAAAATGTAACAAATTACTTTATATTAAACACATTTTTATTGGGTGGGTAATATAACAGACCACAAACATTAGCAAATAATCTAGAAATAAAAAAAGTATTTAATTTAATTATATCACTTATGAAGAAAGTGTTTTTTGCAATTAGGTGATTTGTTTCTATTTTAGTTATTGTCTATTATTAGTTATTTAATTTTTACATTAATATTATTATTTTTGTTGTTATTACTATCATGCTCATTATTATAAATACAATATATTTTCACACTGTAATAAAGACTTTTGGCCTTTAAAATAAAAGTTTTTTCCCTTCACTTTTGCATTTCTCATTTTTTGTTTTGATTGGATGTTGTCAGGGTGATGAAGTGGCGCAGTAGGTAGTGCTGTCGCCTCACAACAAGATAGTTGCTGGTTCAGGCCTCGGCTGGGTCAATTGGCGTTTCTGTTTCTTTGTGGAGTTTGCATGCTATCCCTGCGTTCGCGTGGGTTTCCTCCGGGTGCTCCAGTTTCCCCCAAAGTTATAGGCTAAATTCTCTGTAGTGTATAAGTGTAAATGAGTGTGTATGGATGTTTCCCAGAAATGGGTTGCAGCTGGAAGGGCATCCGCTGCGTAAAACATATGGTGGATAAGGCAGTTTATTTCGCTGTGGCGACTCCAGATTAATAAAGGAACTAAGCTGAAAAGAAAATGAATGAATGGATGTTGTCCATATCATGAGGATAGATTAATTTATTCATTACTTATTTTATGCTTGAAAATGTATACTTTTACCTAGCAAGGATACATCAACTTGCAAAAAATTTTAGTTTAACCCTTTTTTAAGATCGTAAATCTTTAAAGCTAATTCCTTTGTATGTAAGTTGCCAGTATGGATATAGATTGTATTGGTTTTTAACCAGTTTTGATTCATTTAATTTAATTAAATTAATTTTTATTTAATTTATATATATAAAATATTTTTTTTTATACTTAAAAGCATCAAATAGATGAAATCAACCATGTTGAGCATGTGCCAGGTGAACAGTATTCGGCAGTAAATGTGTTTTTTTGCAACAATTAGAAAACAGCAAAGGTTCCTATATGGCTCATTTTTGACTGATATTTTAAAATTGAGGTACAAAAACAAAATGGTTTCCCCCAAAGTCCAAAGTCATGCACTATAGGTGATTTGAATAAGCTAAATTGGCTGTAGTGTATGTGTGTATAGGTGTTTCCCAGTGTTGTATTGCAGCCGGAAGGGCATCTGCTGCGTAAAACATATGCTGGATAAGTTGGCGGTTCATTTCGCTGTGGTGACCCCTGATTAATAAAGAGACTAAGCTGAAAAGAAAATGAATGAATATTAGGAATATTAGGCTACTAGCATTGGACATATTTGTCCGCCTTAATAATTTCTAAGTGAAATCATAGTGTACTGGGCCAGAACATACTGATAACATCACAAACCTGCCAGTAAAGCTAAGCAACTAACTGGCAACTAACTAAATTACTAGATAGATAGAAGGATAGATATTTGTACACAAACAGCTGGCACCTAATAAACATATTCTATTTTTCTATACCAAATATGTGGGCTATAAAATGGCATCATAAAGTTTCTATATACAGTACACCTATTCAGCTGCTACAATCAAGCACACCAGAACTTCGCTTTTTTAATTGCTTTTTATTTAGCAAAGCTGCATTCCTAACACCTCACTGGGTAACTTTTCACAAAAGGCCAGTTGTCTGTTTAAAGTGAAGTCTGTTTGTAGATTCAACAAAAAAAACTATGCAAAGAAACCACACAATTATAAAGTACTCCATTATTTTATGTTCAGAATTGCTATTCATGTAGAGAATTATAATTATGTGCCTATTACTCGACCTATTCACTAGGGAAAACCTTCTTTAATAATGGGCAGATATTCACAATGCACAAGGGCGCTGTATATAACAGATATTTCTGAGCCGTTTCTCAGTCATGAAAAACTTTAACATTTTGTTATTTTGCTCTCTGCTCTATGTACAAACAAGCTCAATGTGCCAGCTGCTTAGAACATTTGAAATGCCTAACATTTTTAAAGTAGGGGACATTATGATTGGGGGAATTTTCCCCATTTTCAATAAACAAGAAAATATAATTGGCTCTTTTGAGAGAAACATGCAAAGGATTAAGTGCACGGGGTAAGTTGTGAATTGATTCAAACATGGAATCATTGGCAATGTTAAGAGCATTATTTTTCTTCTCGTATTTACTGCACAGATTTGACCTACGTGCATTTCGTTGGATTCAGTCAATGATGTTTGCAGTGGATGAAATAAATAAAAATGAGGAGTTGCTTCCTCACATTTCTTTGGGCTATAAAATAATGGATTCTTGTGCTTCACCCACGAACGTTTTACGAGCAGTATTCTCACTGGTAAGTGAGCAGAAGGAGCAGGAATTTACATCTCAGTGTCACCTTCCACTTACAGCTCTTGTTGCTGAATCAGGATCTTCACAGTCTTTAGCTGTTGCCGGAATGCTTGGACCATTTAGAGTGCCCATGGTAATGTCAATCATTCTCGCAGCACACTTGCATTGGTGTTCCTGAAAATGAAATCAGTTCATTTCATAATTTATGCTTCCTGTTTGCAATAACTTTTAGGTAAGTTATTTTTCAACATGTGCGTGTCTCAGTGATAGAAAAAAATATCCATCATTTTTCCGCACAATTCCAAGTGACTTCTACCAAGCAAAAGCTTTGGCCTCTCTGGTAAAACAGTTTGGATGGACTTGGATTGGAGCTTTGCAGTCTGACAATGATTATGGGAGAAATGGAATTTCAGCTTTCACAAAGGAAGTGGAAAAAATGGGAGTTTGCATTGCATTTGTCGGCACTATATTAAGAACATATCCCCAAAGTAAAATCACTGAAGTGGTAGAAATGATCAAAGAATCGACAGTAAAAGTCATCCTGGCATTCGTGCCAGAGGGAGATCTCTATCCTCTAATGAAAGAAGTTGTGAACCGGAATATCACAGGAATCCAGTGGATTGCAAGTGAAGCCTGGGTAACAGCAGCAAGACCATCTACCCCTGAAATGTTCAAGTCATTTGGAGGCACCGTAGGATTTGTGGTCAGAAAGATGGCTATGTTAAAACTAAGACCTTACCTGGAAAACATCAGTCCCTACTCTCCTACACAATCAGCTTTCGTCAGTGACTTCTGGGAAACAGTTGTTGGCTGTAAACCATGTCTGAACTGTGAGCCATCTGCAAATAGCACACTCAATGGCCAAATGTGCACTGGACAGGAAAAACTAACGTTTACAGACAAATTTTTCGATGTAACACAAGTAAGAGTGACATATAATGTGTATCAAGCTGTCTATGCAATTGCACATGCAATTCACAAAGTGCTTTATTGCCAAGGAGATAACAATCTTTCAAAAATGTGCTTAAATGTATCACAGATAACACCTAAACAGGTGAGCAAGTTGATTCATTCTTTTTTTTATAGCATACTTCAAACGTTTAAATTATACTTCATTCAAAGGTCAGCGATCAGTTGGAAAGAGTGAATTTTATAGATGAATATGGAGAAAATGTGTTCTTTGATGAGAATGGAGACCCGCCTGCATCATATGAGCTCATAAACTGGCAGCTAAATCAGGGAGAGGTGCAACATGTGACTGTGGGCTATTTCAGCAAATCCCCAGATGGAACATATAAACTTACAATTAAAGAGGATAACGTCCACTGGAGCACAGAAAATTTGGTACTTCACCGATTAAAGCATCCTTATTCATTTTAATTTACTATAAATTGGCTAACGTATGATCACTTGACAGATACCCAAAGCAGTGTGCTCAGACACCTGCCCGAAAGGCACAAGGAAAGCACAAATAAAAGGTCGGCCTGTTTGCTGCTTTGACTGCATCCCATGTGCTGATGGTTCAATATCAAATACAACCGGTACTGTTATCTAATTTAACTGTATAATTTTTACACAATTTAAACTAGCTAAATATTGTCATAATTGTAATTCTTTTATAGGAGCAGCAGACTGCACTCTTTGTCCTAAAGAATACTGGTCAAATGAAAGACGGGACAAGTGTCTTGTGAAAACAATAGAGTTTCTGTCGTATACAGAAACAATGGGAATAATTCTCACTGCTCTATCGCTATTTGGAGCCAGTCTTACAGTTGCAACTATGATTGTCTTCATACACTATAGAGAAACACCAATAGTGAAAGCTAACAACTCAGAGCTGAGCTCACTATTACTCTCTTCGTTGTTCTTTTGTTTCCTTTGTCCTCTTACATTCATTGGTGAGCCGACACATTGGTCATGTATGCTACGTCATACAGCTTTTGGGCTTACTTTTGCTCTCTGCATTTCTTGTGTTTTGGGGAAGACCATAGTAGTTGTCACAGCTTTCAGAGCCACATTACCAGGAAATAAATTGTCTGGTAAGTTTGGGCCAGTACAACAAAGAGCCATCGTGTTCTTATGCACTGCGATTCAAATAGTGATCTGTGCTTTATGGCTTCTAATAAAGCCACCATTTCCTGACAAGGCCCTCAGGTATGACCATAAAAAGATCATTTTAGAGTGCAACACTGGCTCGGATGCTGGATTTTATGCAGCTTTAGGATATGTTGGCCTTCTGTCAACAATCTGTTTGATTTTAGCATTTTTAGGAAGAAAACTTCCTGATAATTTTAATGAGGCCAAATTCATCTCATTCAGTATGCTCATATTTTGTGCTGTTTGGGTAACATTTATACCTGCATACATTAGTTCACCTGGCAAGTACACTGTTGCGGTGGAGATTTTTGCCATTTTGTCATCTGCCTTTGGATTGTTGCTATGTATATTTGCACCAAAATGTTTCATTATTCTCATTAAACCAGAGAGAAATACTAGAAAGCATGTCATGGGGAAATCAAAGACTAGTCTCTGAGGTTTCTAATTGAAAAATAAATAAATAAATATATTAACAGTTCAAATATGCTGCTGTAGAGGCTTGGTGAGGCTTCAACAAGCAGTGCTTCACATGTACTGAAAATATCTGTTTAGATAATGATCAATACATTTTTAAATCAGTCATCACGGAGTATCAGACCAACTGCAACAATACGTTACTGAAGACATTTTTTATTCCTAAATAAATAAAAAAACTTTTATTGTGATTTATTGGGTTATCACTTTTGAACAATAGGTGGCGGTGTCACATAATTGAATGTGTTCCGTAATGAGTTGATAATGAGGCACAGAGAGCTGAATATACAGTCTTAATTGCACTTTGGCAACAAACGATCAAACTTATTTACATGTATTCAACCAATGAGATTCAATGTATTATAAGTAAATTCTTTTTTTATTTTACCAGTGTTAAAGAACAAAAGATTTGTGATGTACTTCGGTATTTAAAATAAAACACACTTATTGATGAATGTTTATTGATTTTGAAAGACCTGTGAGGCTCATTAATGATTATTCAAGCATGAAAAAAATAAAACAACAACATTACCATATAGCTTTGTTCATTCATTCTTTCATTCCATTTCTTTTCGACTTAGTCCCTTTATTAATCAGGGGTCTCCACAGTGGACCAGCATATGTTTTAAGCAGCAAATGCCTTTCCAGCTGCAACCCATCACTGGCGCCCATACACTCCTATTCACACACATACATTACGGACAATTTTGCTTACCCAATTCACCTATAACACATTTCTTTGGACTTGTGGGGGAAACCGGAGCACCCAGAGGAAGCCCACGTGAACTTGGAGAAAACATGCAAACTCAACCAGCGACCTTGTTGTGAGGCTATCGTGCTACCCACTGCGCCACTGTGACACCCCATATAGCTTTGTATATAACATAAATGATAAACTCAAATTGTAAGGATTCGTGTTGACAAATACAAATAAATAAATAAATACAAACAGGTAACGGAATATGTGTTTGTGTTTCAAGAAAAACCCTATATGTCATCGTAATATATGCTACAGCAGCAGGGGAAATGCATGAGCATTATATATTGTGTTCCAAAACATAACATTTTTATTTTACATTATTAATTTGCATTTGACATCAGGAGTGAGCTCTCGGGTGCTGAACATCCCCCATTTTTGACTAAGTTTGCAAATTTATTATCTTTTAGTACCCTCTCTACATGATCACACTTGTGGAATTTGCACTTGACCTCTTATCGAGTTTGGCATTCATTCATGAAGCCTGCCAGTTCTAACATGCCCTGATATTTTTGATTTTTTTCAGTTGCTTATAAACATGTACATGGCTAAAGTCTAACAACCCTGTATACAGAGCATAAACTGGGTTACAATATTATGTAAACAAAATTTATGTCTGTGAATGTGTTTTTGAAAAAGAAACGTTTATGCATGAATAGTGAAAAACAAAAACAAAAATTGAAGTCTGGTTTACCCCACAGTGCAAAGATATGCGGTACAGGTGAATTGGGTAGGCTAAATTGTCCTTAGTGTTGAGTGTGAGTGAGTGTTTCCCAGAGATAGGTTGCAGTTGGAAGGGCATTCAGTTCAATTCAGTTCAATTCAGCTTTATTTGTATAGCGCTTTTACAATGTAGATTGTGTCAAAGCAGCTTCACATAAATGGTCATAGTAATTGACTAGTTCAGTTGACAGACTAGTTCAGTTTTTAGTGTTTAAGTTCAGTTCAGTTTAGCTCACTTCAGTGTGCTTTAATCATTACTGAGAGTCCAAACACTGAAGAGCAAATTCATTAATGGGTAGCATCAGCTGCAAAAAACATGTGCAGAATAAGTTAGCCTTTCATTTCGCTGTGGCAACCCTGAATTAATAAAGGGACTGTGCCGAAAAGAAAATGAATGAATGAATGAAGACACATTTTTAGTGAAAAGAGTCTATGCAAAGAGATGTTAACTATTATTACTAATGCAGTGATTCATACATGAGACGACAAAGACCTGCATAACAGGCATTCGACTGAGGAAAGAAGAGGACAAAATAATGAGTTTTAATTTACTTGTGAGTCCAGTTATTTATTAGGAACAATCAAAGCTGATTAAAACTACATGTACAAAATCACAGGAACAAAATACTCATTGAATGGCTTTTTAGAATTCTTTGATTAACAAAAATATTCCACAAAATAACGTAAGTTTAAAAAAAAAAAAATTTTTATTGTGGCTTTGCCAGTCATGCTGACAGAAGACAGAAAAAAGAAAACGCTCCAAGTCTGTTTTAGTAATTTTACAAAAGCTTATCAGTTTGTAATAGTATTGAATATATACAAATAACGTAGATATAAATATGTAAATACATGTATAGACCCTTTACAGTTTTCAAATCTGTGTTTTCTTATCAATGTGTTCAAAGAATGACTGTTATATGGATGTGCAAAAATGCATATATGCAGAAAACCTTTTATTATATGCTAGTTTGCGGTGCAGATCAGAGGATCTAATGAGGCGCATAACTTTTAAACAAAATTTAAACTAAGGTCAAACTTTTGAGGTTGTTTGCATGGTTCAAATTTAAAATTGTTGTTTTGGCCATACCTGTTCTCTTCTGATTTACCAATGGCGTGAGAGGAAAAGTTTGAGTGGGAGATTGTCTCTGAGCTGCTCATATGCATAATGAGGATACACCCTGAAGGGAGGGGTAAACTTTAACCCACTGTATTAAAGAATGTAAGTCATATAAGTTTTTATCCTGCATTCTGCATTATGATTTTAAGCATTAAGCTGGATCTATGCATTTCCATTGCAACAGCAATAGATTGCAAACAAACACAATTTAAACATTTAGGAGTGAGTTTTGGGTTCTATGAGTCCATTTAAATCTTTAAGCATTTATGTGTGTGTGTGTGTGTGTGTGTGTGTGTAGACAAAGGAAACAGAGGAGCTTTATATATATATATATATATATATATATATATATATATATATATATATATATATATATATATATATATATATATATATATATTAGTGCTGTCAATCGATTAAAAAAAATTACCTAATTAATCGCACCTTTTTAAAAAAATGAATCGCGATTAATCACATTTAAAATACTAAAACTTGTAATTTTGGCTATTCAAATGTAAAATGAATGTAAACGCAAGACAAAAACTATTTACATTAAAAATATAATTGTTTATTAGAATTAAAATTCAAAATATAATTGTTTAAAATAATTTTTGTTTGACTTGTAACACAGATTTCTTCATGTAAACAACATACCCACAATAAACCATCAAGATCCTGGCTTGACAGCCATATTTATCACAGAAATAAAAACACAGGCATGTTAATGACATTTAAATTTCAAAACAATCAATGCCAATAAAGAAAACATTGATTTCTATGTTGGATTTTAAGTGGACTGCAAAATAAATGCCAAAATATAGGAATTGCAGATATGGAAAATTAAAAATTATTATAATAAACTATAGAATACAAACTGTTGCACTTATTGTAAAGTTTTATTGCTGCAAACAATTTTGCTTAATCCTCCTTTACATTCATCCAGTTGCTAAGACTAGGAGTATCCCGCATATGCACAGAGACTCATAAATGTCCGCAAATGAATGATAATTTCTCGCAAACCGGTCATTAAATACATTGCACACCCCTATCCCCCGCATCCCTCCTAGCTCTTCAGGTAGCCTATGTCGCGTGCAACTCACTCCCACCGTCCTTCAGGTACGTCTCGCGCGCACACGCCCCTACTCAGATACGTCGCTCACTCCACCCCTGACACCCCTCAACAGGCCTGACACAGACACACATACAACGCGCTGCAGACGTTTTGGCCCCAACGGCCTTCCATACTGGAGCGACTCCCCTCAGATTCAACACGCATGATCACGTTCATCAAATTTGCTTAAACTAAGCGTCCTAAAGTATTACTGTATTTTACAAGGATTCTGACACAACAACGCGAAGCATACGCTTTTGTTGCGTTTAATGAGGAAACACGCTAAACTTGGAGGGCTCATGCTGAAAGGCAGAGTAATGACCTGTCTTTGACAGCTCGCGACTTCACCAGAGACGTTTTGAGTACATTCACATAAGACACCAATACTCCGATTTTAATATGATCAAGATTATACTCTTATTGAAATTCTATTGTTTAGCCTAAGCAGTGATTTCATTACCTTAAAGGAACACCGAGTCACGAAATGCAGAGGATTTTCTTTCTGTTCGCCATGCGGTATCAACTTACAACACAAGTCGAAAGTTAAAAATGAAACACCCGAAATTGCATGAAACTCTGGAGAGCCTGGTGATGCGACTAATTGTTTTATACTGAAACTTGCCTTCAAAAAGTGCTTCCTTGGTCTTATCCACATTTCTTGCATGTTAAACCCACGTCCACCACAACAGGAAGTAAAAAAAAACCTGCAACTGCGTTAATTGCTTTAATTTTTTTAACGCGTTAATTATTTATAATTAATCGCATGCGTTAACGCACTAATTTTGACAGCGCTAATATATATATATATATATATATATATATATATATATATATATATATATATATATATATATATATATATATATATACATACATATATACATACATACATACACACACACACACACACACACACACAAGTTTTTTCTGGTACTTAAAATCTGATTGACTAATAGGCGACGCCGTGCAATGTTCTGCTAATAACAGTACTTGTATTGCCTCTTCACCCTTCACCTTTGTGCATTACTCCACCCACATACAGAGACAAGCAAAGGACACTGACATTTAGTGTTGACATACAGTTTGACAAATATTGCTGCTGTTAGGCAACATAATGTACTTTTGGTGCTTTTTTAGTCAAGAATGTAGTTGTTCAATACAGTTTATTTATAAGGATAGTGCTTGTTTTAAAATAATTATTATTTCGGAGCATTGATTCAGTGATCGGCCGCCATCAGCCTTTCTGATCAGACCAAAGAAAATGACGGTTGACATTTCACCACAAGATGGAGACAGAGACTGCGTAATAATCCTTGGGGAGAAAAACAGTGTTTTTTTCTGCATGAATTTCAAACTACAGCAGAACAAATCATTATAAATTAGGTAAGTTACATTCTAAGTTGATTTTTGTTTTTAAGTTGATTCTGATCCTGATTGCAACAGAAATACAGGGAAATATCTGTAGATTGATGGCATTTCATGCCGTTCAACTCTATAATCTTAAAATATGAGCAAATATTACCTGATTTGTCATCAATTTAGATGTTAAGCTAGAGAATCTTTTAAATACTAGCTCTAAAGCTGTTTTGATGTCAGCTGCAGATGTGAATGAATGATGGAAGAAAAGTTGGATTTTAAGACTCTTTGTCTTTGATTTTCTTTTTTATATATATAATTATGCCGTCGAACTGTTGTATAAACAAAATATACTCGTAGCAGTGCTTTGTGGTTGAATATCATCACTTGTAGGACACTAAAGCATGCCTCCCACCAGTGCCGATTTACAGCCACATCACACTGCTACTCATGTAAAATTGCTCATATATGATA